AAATCTGTTACCATAGCTATAGTGACCTACACATCAACTGTTTGGCCTCGGGACTGCTAGATACAAGATGTGAAATGCACCCTTTGATCTCTGCTACAGGAACTGCAGGAAAACAGTTTTAACTAGACCTTTAATAGGCCAAAACGATCAAAAGAAGAGTTAACTAATAAAGGACTCTGACCCACAGCGCAAGGCAGGTAGCACTACATGTCAAGAATGTGTAGAAAACAGGTGTTAAAAGACCTCAGTTCCCTGATGTAGGTAGGTTTGATCTTTCACAGGTGTGATGATTTTAACCTCTGTAGGATGCCCATTCATCATCGTTTCATTCATCACCACTGAAGATCAATGGACACACCATTTTTAGGCCAAACACAGTATATGCAGTAACATATTGAACAAAATAGCATATGAGGGAGGCAGAAGGGAAGAAGAAGGGGATATTCATACTTGTTAGCATTGAATTCTTAATTTAGAAGCCAGTTTTTCTAATCCTTCAATGCAGAAAGACAAATTACCCTGGAGCAAAAACTCTTACAGAGGTGTCCAGAGAAAAGCTGTGTTACAGAGAATGTGGCAAATGACTCTAAACTCCCATTGCTAATATCTTTCCCTAACTCCGTGGTGGGAGCAACAAGAAGGAATGGCAACTGGTATATACTCAGTTTCAGATATTCAGGGTCACAGCTGCAAAAAAATAAATAAAAATACTCAAGAACACATATAGCATTAAGAAAAAGGAGACTTCAAGGCCCCTTCCTTAATCTCTTGCTATAAATCCTCTTGCATATATTTTATTTGGCACAAGCTATTTCAATATATAACACCAGCATTTTTCAAACCAGTCAACTCTGATTTTGAACCCTGGAATTCTAAAAAGAGGATGGTATCTTCACCTTAATTCTTTATTTCTGATTTGTCTCTATGATAATGTGTGTGTGTGTTTTATTTATTTTCCTTATTTTTGATACTTGTGTAAGTGAAATAGACACTTAGCTTCATATTAAGAGTGACAAAATCTGTTAAACACTTAGTGATATAAAACCAACGATTAAAGAAACCCTTGCACACTGATGGTGCCTTTAATAATTATTTCACAAGTCTGAAATCAGGTGTCATAAGAATTGCAACCAGTAATGGCTCTAATACCTTTTAAATTGATTACTAAGGATCTATTTCTACTCACCAAGATAGAAATAAGCCAAAGACTGCTGCAGATATTTTGATTTGTACCTGAAAGTTTTCCAACCTTTAGAAAGCCTCTGTAATAAGTCTAATTTTGTGTACTTTTGCCCAGGCTTTCTAATGTAGACATGAATAATGCATGGAATGGACAATACTTTTAAAAAATAGATAGAAATAACTAATACAAATTTACATAATAAATAGTTAAAACAAGAGTAAACTGTGAACAGGAGTACCACTTAGGCTAAAAGGAGAATAAAATTCAGGCATAGAAATTAATTATCAGAAGTAAAAATTACCTTTTCTCCCTTTAAACCAAGTTACATAGTATTGGTCCTTGGAAGTAAGCATACTGGGTACTGTGCAGTGAAGGAGGCTGAAAGTGGTATAACAATTCAGTAGTGTGTTATTTGTTAGCACAGAATGAAGCGGCAGGGGATCTTTTGCCATATAACCGATTTCAGTCATTTGTCCCTCTGCAATGTTTTTGGAGGTTAGCAGTATTTGAATAAAAATATTTCAAGTTTTAATATTTTACAAAGCACTTATGTTTATATGATACCCTCAGCTCAGCTGATGTGGTAATATATGGATGCTTTACCAAGAGATGAAGAAGAATGTGTACTATGCACCTTAGAAGACGTGGGTTACAACACCCAGATTAAATATTTGTATTTCAAAAATTCCAACATTCACATTCCTGATATGAGTAATAAAATTGCCTAAACTCTTAAACATGACTTCACAACTTCACTTTTATCCACTTAACTGATCCTTCACGAGACAGCAACAATATATTTACATAACATTAGTTCATCAATGTAATGGAGAAACCAATTCATTAGGGGTTACTTTTATCTCATCTAAATTTAAAAAAAAAAAAACATTTTTGGGTATCTAAATTCAGGATTATAACTGTCTGGGGTCCCTATACAGTCAATGAAGATAAAGAGACAGAGAGAGAGAGAGAGAGAAGGTGAAAACAAGAGCAATTCTGCCATGAAGGAATGTGACATTTAACTTCTCTCTAACATATGAAGAGGAACTTTGAAGTGCTATCTAATACTAGACAATGTTCACATTTTGAACCAAAGCTTCAAATTTACGGATGCATACAGGCAACCAGTGGCCTGTGGCACTTCTGATTTGCTACTTAAACCCACAGTTCAGCATGCCTAAGGACATTCCTTGGCAAAAGGTAGTAGAAAAAAGTGGGCTTTAGAGTTGCTAGGAAAATGAAAACCTCAGGACTCATTCCCAGTTGCTAGTAGTGTAATTAACAGATTACTGAAATAAACACAGTTCAAGTATTATAATTACAACTGTAATACTCTCAAGGTATTCGCATGGTACAAAGGCACAGGCCTCATGATTCATTCAGTTTCTTCAGATATCGATGAACCACAGAGAAGATGCCACCAGAACAAAGAGTTACCAGACAGATACTGCATCCTTTGCCATCACTGTGAGGCAATGATCATGTGCAAAGGCTGTCCTCAGAAGCGATATGTTACTTGTTATCAATATAGGTGTGATCAGCTTGCCTAAAAGTAAGCATGGAGTTTCATTTGAGATACCCTGTTGTATCCTACCTGGCCATAACTGTTGTTCCAGAGTAGCATCGTGAAGGTGGGGGTCTCACATAGATCCTGTGTACCAGCTGCCTGCCCCAAAAGAATGTCTTTCCGTATCTCGAAACAGCAATAAATGCCTATATTTAGATGAAAGACTGTATATTGCTTTCCTTCAAGCCAAAAGAATCACTGAACAAACAGCTACTTTATGAGAACAGAAGCAGCAGAATCTGACCTAGACAATTTTTGCTACTTACACCCCTTGGGATGAATATGTGCCAAGTACATTTAAAATGCTGTCTACGGACTCTCTTTCCTTCTCTTGGATTAGAGTGACTGTCTATCTGAAAGGGGAAACAGGATAGATATGATCTAATTTACATTTAAAATATACCAGGATTTGTGGTTAAAGGTGTAAAACAATACACATTAAAGGAAATGTCAAAGTCATTCATAAAGTAAAATCTCTTTATAGGTTGCAATACAAGCAGAGATTTTATCAAGTTGTTATTTTTTCTACATTATGTTTATTGCAAATTTTATAAATTCTCATTTCATATTAATATTCAGTATTTGTACTGTATGTGGACACTATGTAAACATGAATGTTCACATTGTCATGTTGTTATGACAATTTGGTTCATTTTTTATAACTTCCATAAATTATCTATGAAACTGCAAACTAGCTTTATCACTGGCATCATCATTTTCAGAAGCATATTAAATATTTTGTGAAAAGTGTATCAACATAAAGGAACAAAGGGAATAGCTCTTCATATTTGATTATTTTATGATATATTTATATAAATACTTAGTATGGTATGTTTGATGACTGCAATCAGGCACCTGGGACAAGATCAGAAGAAAAAGCTTTACAAGAGTGTCATTCTATAATGAATTTAAATCACTGAGAATTTGCAAGTGAAAATAATAAGATTATTATATCTGTGTAATTTCTGGGTATGGTGTAAGTGCACTGGGACTGGCACCAGCATGCTTTGAACTGCTGCAGTGACCTGGTAGACCTTTTGCTCCTTCAGATTCATTTTAGAGGTCTGATGTCTCTGGATAGATTTACCCCATGAGTCAAGGCCTGAGAAAATTCATTCATGTTCATGCTTGTAAACCCCTGGGACGAAGTACATGTAAAGAAGGGCCTATGACGTTACATTAGATTTTAACAGCAGGAGAATCATCACCTTTCTGGCATTTTCTCTTCAAAGACAAAGGAAGATAAAGCACTTGCTTTCCTCTTATGTGAAAAGCCTAAAAACACTATAGAAAGTAGGTAGGACACCAGAGTTTCTCTATAATTGAATGGCAATCTGTCTATACAGCAGAAGTTTCAAAGTAACCAAGCATGCCTAGTGCTTGCCAGCAAGTAGGAAAGCGTGAAGCCACATGAGTAATCTGTCCAACCAGTTGAATAAGATTGTATTGCTATAAGACACTATTTGGCATGGGTACTTACCCATTCAAAATCATGTTCCCTTTTAGAATTTATGGGGTTTTAATTAAATTAATTAATTTGGTTTATCATGGAATGCTATAGATAGGTTCTATTGGCTTAGAAAATTAAAACACTTCCAGGCTAATTGTCTAGAACCTGTTCATACTGCCTAATTATTTGCTGATGAGACAAGGACCCTCCTCTTTTTAAATATGTCTTACACCATTTTGAGAAGTTCCAATGCAGTTACACACATAAATACTCCTCGACACATAATAGACAAGCAGGTAAAGTCTAACATAATTTTCAACTTTTTTGTCAATAGTAGTATAGCAGAATTCCTGCCCCAAGCATTACTCAGAGAAAGAGATGCCAATAAATCTCTTTTGTTTCTGCAGCATAAATGAATGAAACTGTGAGGGGTTTTGGCAAGTTAACATGTTTTTCTACATATCAGTAATTTTCATTGTAGGGGAAGCTCAGATGCCACTTCAAATCATTAGGCAACAAATTAATCTTAAATCAGCAGGAAATTACACAGAATGTCAGTGAAGCAAAGGTGAGGCTGCGATTTAATTTATGGTATTGACATATGTTAGTTCCAACTGGGCTTCAAACAAAACTTTTTAGGATAAACAAATCAGCATTTGCTTTGCTGGAAAACTTCTGACTAACTCTACTGACAACCTACACTTTCCACTGGCCTGTTGCTGTCCAAGAGATCTAATGATATGTAAGGTGTTAAACTAGTGGATGTCACTTAAAACCTTGGAAAGATTATGTAGACTTACATGTGTCGTCTTTCTAATTCCACTCTGCTGACAGCTTCAGATTTTCCGGTACCAAAATAGAGTGTTTTCAAGGTGAAGGTGCAGGTCTGGGACATCTAGAAATAATACAATACAGTTCAGTAAAAGCATCATTAACTGGAAAGTATTATATCCTTCTTGTGATATGTGAAAGCCACATATATGCCAGTGCAATCATTTCACATGACTGAAACGCCATGTAAAAGTGTAGCCAGTGTTGCCACCACTGTTACCCAGGCTGTTGGGAAATGTTTTGTCATTGTGACAAGGGCAAAGCACCACCAATCAGACCCTGTGGAACCAAACTCACAGGAGTAGTATTGAACTATCAGTGTTTTCCTAAAATATCTCTTAAGGGAGGTCAGCCTATATTCAGACACAGATCCTAAAGAAACATTGTATTAAGAACTGAGTTATGCAAATGAATTGAGTTACAGCAAACACAGTACAGTCCTAAGTGTCTTCAGTGGTAGTATGGAAAAAAATATCACGGTGTGGAAATACTAGGATGCTAGGAGAATAAAAAGGAGAATAAAAAAACCTCTATAGCCATCTACAGAAATTAGTAATTGTCTTTTACAAAACTACAGACAAGGAAAGTTCTTGTGGAAATCCTTACTGGTCTGAAGAATAAATTGGAATTATCTAGGACATAAAATATTTACTTAATTTGAATAATTGTGTATATATAGGTGATATGCATGGGGGTGGGGATGTCATAATGGAGGTACCTTGACAGGCTTAAGAAGTGAGCCAAAATAAACCTCAAGAAATTCAACAAGGCTAAGCGCAAGGTCTTGCACCTGGGTCAGAGCATTCACCAGTATCAATACAGATTGGAAGATGAATGGAAAGTAGCCCTGCAGAGAAGGACTTGGGGATATCGGTAGATGAAAAACTGGATACAAGATACAAGTCAGTAATGTGCACTTACAATCCAGAAAGCAAACAGTATCCTGGGCTGCATCTAAAGTGTGACTGGCAGGACAAGGGAGGGGATTCTCCCCCTCTATTCTGCTCTCATGGGACCCCACTTGAAGTACTGTGTCCAGCTCTGAGGTGCTCAGCACAGGAGAGACATGGACCTGTTGGAGCAGATTTCTTTGAAAACCACAAAGATTTGATGTTTCTACATTAAATTTCCTTCCAATTGTTTGGGTTTGAAAGTGCTTGGTCTAAAATTAAATATATACATCATGCAGAAGGAAAATGTACAAATCATGCAAAGCAAGAAAGACCTGATTATTTTTGACTGCCTCTAATTAACATGTTTCTACTGTTGGCTACCTGTATTTTTCCTTTGAGGAGTGCAATTCATTATTTTGTTAAAATTAGTCTGCTAGATCAATGATCATCTATATATGCTACTACTTCTACTACTTTATAATGCTACTGCTTTATAATGCTACTACTTCTACTACCCACCCCAAATAAGTAATTTCATTATGGGTTCTGTTAATAATGGTAGAAACAGTTTTGTTTGTGCTGGTCAGGGAGTACAAGGAATGTGTTGGTTTTTATTACTAAACAATGCCAGAATCCCTTTGCAAACTCCAGAGAATTTGTGAGCATTATTAGAAACTCATTCACAACCACATATGAATCACTATGGTTTTCCTGAGCAAGAATGCTTTACTCTGAGTAGGGTATTACGCATAATAACTGTGCCACTAGTAAACATCACCCTGTTATGTTTTTGCCTTCTATCCACATCTGCTTGACAGACTGTTTCAGTAGCTGTTTCCTTCTGCCTCTGCTCAGCTATTCTAACTCCTAAGAATCTCTGAGAACTCAGCCAAACAAGAATTTACATTCACTGTTGCTAATGCCTAGAATGTTGATACTTTTAATCTGTTTTCAGGTATCAGGTGATATAAATGAAAGACCCTCCTATATGACACCCTTTTCTCAAAGACTTCTGAGAAAAGGAGATACTTATCCTAATTCTAATCTTAGAACGTTCTGGTAAGAAGCTTCCTCCTGAGCTCAAGCAGAATATCCTTCTCTATCTAAGAAGAAACAAAAACAACAGATAAATAATAAGCACAACTATACAGATTATCTCATATTCATCATCTATCCATAAGATTGAGTCAGAAACATGGCCCCTAGCGCTCATTAGGGACAAAAAATAGAGAAAAAGAAAGAAAAGGAACTGTTCTGAAAGTGACTCAGCTCTTAGTCAGGCCGTTTGATTGTTTACAGTCTTTTAGCCTCCTCAGTGCTTTTATGGGAAAAAATATATTCTTAAATGAACAGTGATCTTAATTTACATGTTGCTGTGATAAACCTGTAACTAGGCAGGACAAATCTAGTCCTGATGTTTCTGGATATAGGATGTTAGTTGAATAAAAGATATTAGGCTATTAGAGAACACGCAAAGATGAGCAATGAAGATGGTGAAAGGGCCTTGAGGAAAAGCCATATGAGGAGCAACTCAGGTCACTTGGTCTGTTCCGGCTGGAGGAGACTGAGGGGAGACCTCATTGCAGTCTACAACTTTTTTGTGAGGGGAAGTACAGGAGCTGGCACTGATCTCTTCTCTGTGGTGACCACTGACAGGACCCAAGGGAAAGTCCTGAAGCTGTGTCAGAGGAGGTTGAGGTTGGATATTAGAAAAAGCTTCTTTACCAAGAGGGTGGTTGGGCACTGGAACAGGCTCCCCAGGGAAGGGGTCACAGCACCAAGCCTGATAGAGTTCAACAAGTATTTGGATGATACAGTCAGGTACATGGTGTGACTCTTGGGGATGGTCCTATGTGGGGCTAAGGATTCTCACTTGATGATCCATGTGGGTCCTTTCCAGTTCAATATATTCTATGATTATCTTCTGTGATTATCTTTATAAACAATGAAAGACTTATTTTACATCAAGAGCTTGACATTTACAAAGTGACTCCTTGACATATTGTGTCATGTATTGTGAACTTTTAAAATAAAGACCCAAGATGAGCACACATTCAGGAATTATATTAAAAGAGGTTTGGGTTTACTCACATTAACACATTAATTACTGACAAAATGTCTAGAGACTAAATCTTATTTATTTTTTTTATTTTTCTTTTAAATGCATCATCATGGAGAATATGTTTTTTTCTCAAAATAAGAAATGGTATATTGTTATTATACTGGACTAGGATTAGGTGTTTTCCCAGCAAGGTCTTTCACCATCTAAGGAAGATTTAAGTCTTGCTGATCCTCAAGGAAGCACAAAGATCTCTCCCACTCAAGTGGTGTGGGAGTAGAAACCAGGAAATGGCTAGGCTCAAATGAGATGCAAAATTATTCTTCACTTCTACAGTCCACTTGTGTTCCCACTGAAGGGTAGTAATAATTACAACTATTATAAATGTTGACTCTATTTCTCTATTTCACCTCCTTGCTCTGAATTTGTCTGCATTTATATATATATATATATATATGTATATATATAAAATACAAGACCTATTGTCTTTTGCAAAATATTTTTGGAGTTTTATTAATGATTTTACTACCAGTATTCCTTTAAAAATGCTAGTCAAGCAAGTTCTTGCTTTTAGAACAAAGCCTTATGGCAATGTCAGACCTGTAGTTAGAGTCCTGAGTAAAGGCAAAAAGATGTTGAAGGTCACACTCTGTGACCTGCATTGAAAATCTGAAGGCAGCATAACCTAGTGGAGGATCACTATGTCGTGATTTACCCCAACCAGCTCCCCCTGTCTTGAGAAAGTAACAATTTGTTATTGGGCCGTGTCAATAATCATTTACAGAACTAACACGGATACCCAGGAAGGTTTATGAGAGAAAAAGTAGATGATTTTGACATTTAGGTTCTTCCCCTTCCCTCCTACTCTCTTTTCCAGGTGTGGACTTTTCACCTCTGATACAGTAGCTTGCAAAAGCACACACACCTCACGTGCAAAATACTAACTGAGTCCTTCAGATTTCTGTGCCTCCGATGGAACAGCATCACTATACCTCAGTGCAAAGCCATAGTAGACCCAGGTGGCCTTTTATCAGCCATGGGGGTCTACAGGGGTGAGAAGAGACCAACAGCTGCCCTGTGTTATACACAGCTGATGCCAGACAGCTCCAGCAAACCCATGGCAGGACACAGCAGTCAAGCCAGTGTTACCTTTGGGAAAACATATTAAATAAATGACAAAATTTATGGACCAGCAGAGGAGGAGAGAAAAAAAAATCCAAAACTTAAGAGGGAAAAAAAGCAAAGTGAACACCAAAGTAAAAGCAGGAGACAAATGAAGTTCTCCATGGGGGAGACAGTGGATATTTGACGAAGGGCAAGGAGCCCCATGGAGAGTCCATGCTGGATCAGAGGAAAAGTATGAGGAGAAAGGAGCAGCAGAGACAAATGCTTATATACTGACCATAGCCCTCATACTCCATTTCCCAGTATACCATGTGACATGAATGAATGAGATGGGAGTAGAGGAGTGACGATGAGCCCAGGAAATGGAAAAGGAAAGTTATTGCTTTAATGTTTTTAATTTTTGTTTGTTTCTCACTACCCATATCCATTTTATTGCTAATAAATTATTTTTCTCAAGGCAAGTCTGTTTTACCCACCATGGTTATTATTAAGCAATTTTCCTGTTATTACCTTTACCTTTACATTCTTCTACCTGGTTTTCTTTCTTTCTCCTTTCATCCTACTGAGGTGAAGGAAGTGGGTGAGCTAATTGAAATTATTATGTATTATAGTAAAATAATATAATAATATCCTTCATTTGGCTCAAAACCTGAAGAAGAAGCATCTTTGAATTGTTTAGATTTGAAAAGGAAAGCGATATATATTTGCAAAGTCAAGAGACACAGAGACAGATATAAAAAGGTGTCTGGGGCCAAGCAACCTGAAATCACTCTAAAACAACCAGCTCCTTTCAAAAAAAGGAAGATAAAATTAATAATCAACTGTGTCTACCTGAGACAGGGAATCAGTGTAATCTGTAAGTCAAAAGTCTTACAGTATTTTTTGAATTGTCTTATGGTACCTCTGATAAAGGTATGCATTTACCCCAGGATAAAATAAATCCAAAACCAAAAAACAAACACCAAAAAAAGCCAAACTTACTATTGA